TCCACGGTGAAAGCCGATCCGGCGATCCACAGCGTGAAGTTGATGTATTTCCTCAGTGACCACCACGGATCAGCTCTAGGCATGCCGAAGCGGATATCGTCCTCTTTTGGAAGGCCAAACAAAGTAGTTTCGCTTTCACAACTAAACACACAGCATCTCCACAACATGGCGCCAGCGGCAACAATACTACAGCGAGAATAAAAGTTACGCCTTCTTTCTTTGCGTGAACATTTGGGCGGTGTTATGCAAATCTTCCCACACAGTGACGTAGACATGTGGGGGCGTGTTTAAACGAGGCGTTTTAGGAGGGCGTGGACAAGTCTTTTATAAAGAAAATCTCTTTGGATTTGAGACTTTAGTCTGCAACTTTACAGATCTTCTTTATGCACCAAGAGCTTGTAACACTCCAAAGAGAAAGTAAAAATTGAAATCGCATCATATGACCCCTTTAAGTCGTGTAGTGTGAACTAGGCTTAAGTTGCACTGAGTAAATACTACAGCTGGATATAAAACAAAAATTGTGTCCTGCATTCTTTTCTATACCCATTGTAGAGTCCATGCCATCATCTCAAGCTCTTGCTACTTAAGCTTTGTGCTCAATATGAATCTGGACGCTGTCACCTTGCCATACTTCCGGCATGCCTGAGAGCTTCACACTTCAGACAATCAGAAGCTGAAGCTCTTTGGTCCGGATATCCTTTATAGCTTCTGAATTACACTGTTATCCATCACGGGATGATGTCTCACCAATGACGTTAACCAATGACAAGACTATGATTCATCACTATATCAAAGCGTACGCATCACATTAAAGGTCAAATTAATTAATGTGATACATGCAAATAGTTCAGTATATCAAAAACCTTTAAGTATAATTTGATACCGATTCCAAATTTAAGTGGCGTTCACACTGACAGTGATTTGCAGTGTCTTAATATTATTTATTTTTAATGAGAGATTGCGAAAACATCAGTGCCTGCACCTGATAATGGGAAAAACAGATGCAAAACCATGATGTCACTCACATGTTCGGCCATGTATAGAGACAGTCGAGTTGTACTGGCCACTCCAGGTGCTGATGGTCACAGTGTAGAGACGTCCTGGAATCAGATCATTGAACTCGCATTCACTTTGTATCCTATTGAGCTTCTGACTTTGAAGACGTGTGCTGTTATACTCGATCGCCACTTCATAATAGTCATAGTCCCCAGATGCATGATTCCAGTAAACCTTTAGAAAGTCATCTCTGGCTGAGTGGATGGCGGCGGGGTTCTGGACTGTGGATGGCTCTGAAAGAAGAAATAGTGCAATTTTAATATTCTCAAATTATTGTGAATATAATGTAACATTAAAAACAACACATTGAGGGGGGGAAAAAAGACTGATAAATAAGCTTTATGGAAACCTCCCAAAAACATTAAACTTGTCAAAGGCCCTAAAATATACTTGACACGACAATTAATGCCCCTTCAGTTATTAGTAGCCTAGTGTAAACATAATATTGAAACAAAATATATATTAGTTGAATTATAAAAGTATATTTGTAAAGTACAACTCTAAGTATCTGGGGAGAACAAAATTTAATTGATTCATTTCATTATTGTAATGACAATTTAATGAAAAACATTGTGATGGGAAAAAGTGTCAAAAAAAGTTTTTGTTTTGATTTTGCTATGAAATTTCTGTAATTTAAGAACTATAAGAACAATGCTACTATTATTGCTTACGCGTTCTCTCCTGTACAAGTGTTTGGTTCCTGTAACTGCCGCTGTGTGTGGTAATGGAGATGGTGTACAGTCGGCCAGAAACCAGACTCCTGAACACAGACTCTGCGGTTGCTTTAGACGCAGTGAGTGTGTGTACAATCTTCTCCTGGTCCTTTAGCATCACCATGTAATTGTCCACATCTCCTTCTGCTGCCTTCCACGACACATTCAGAAAATCTGGACCACTGTTAGTGACGGTTATGTCAGAAACAGCAGCGGGCACTAAAAAAAAACACAGAGAGAAGGATACAGTACAGCAAGAATAATAATAATAAAAAAGTGATCAATAGGTTAGTCAAATAAAGGTGCTCGCTGCCGTTTGAAATGCTTAAACTTCTGAAAATTAATTTTCTTTTTCATTCAGACAGATCAATGCTTTGTTTAAGCATCCCATAATCAGAGTGTTAAACTTTTAGAGAAATCAACTTACAATTGGCTTACTTATAGCTAACACTGTTAAATTGGAATATGAAAAAAATATTGTAACAAAAAAAATGATACATTACATGTTTAATCAATAAAAGGCTCTGGCTTAATGTGTACACATAGTGTATCTAGCTGTTGTAGAATGTGTAACTATCCTCCATTGTTTGGGCAACTTCACAAGAGTTCATTAAACACTGGCTGAAAATAGAAAGAGCATTTCAGCCCGACAGGATGTGTTTAATATGACCTGCTCCTTTTATGCAGAGCTTCCTGAAATTCCATAAATCCCCTTTGTATTGAACTGTAAATTGTTTTGCAGTTCTGTCATGATTTTAATCTGTGGGAAAATAGTTACGGGGAAATATAAAATCTATATTAGTAGTTAATTAGTAGAATATTTTACATGATCTGAAATACACATATAACATATATAAACAAAATATATAAAATGTGTTTTTGGCAGATGGATTAATATATAGTTCAGTCATGAAACTCTAGATGGCACATTCTGACGGGGTGTTAACGTAACTGATGATATTCAGAGAGTTAAACGACTTGGCACAAGCTGATTGGTTCATGCTGCATATGCAGCCAATAAGCTTACTGCCTTGCATTTATATGGCTGGCTAGCGTTCACTTGAGATTCCTGCAGCGCGCTTTCAGAGTTCTCTGAAACCCTCCACCTTCCCCAGCTCCACCTGTATATATCTGCTACGGGGTTATTTTATATGCTATTTGTGCAGCAGCAGTATGTCTTAAATACTCATGGCACCGTATCGCCATATGCATTGGCAGTAGCAAGTTCCTGTACTTGCTTGCAGCAGCAGTAATAATCTACAACTACAGCAATAACCAACAGCAGCAGCAATTCAGCAGCAGCGTAGCAGATCTGTTCCGCCAAGACCAAATACATTAACATTGTCATATCCATCACCATGCTAAAATGTTCCGAGAGTTGTCATGATTGAAATACATTTAAGTCTTTAAAGGTTAGGATTGTAATACAATTATAACGTGGTAACAATTGTTTAAGGTAACATGCAACAAATTATAATGTATAATATATTTTTATGAATGCATTGGAATCTCTATATAATGCAGTATAGGCTTCAAAGAACATGTCAATACTTATGAAAACATGAAGTCCTGCATAACAACAGAGTAAGAGAGCATAATAACAATGGAAAGTGCATACCATGTGTTTTGTTAAACACTTATTTCAACTGGGTTAATGTTACCTGTACGACATTCGGCCTCAGCTAGTTTGGAGGTCTGTGATCCGCTGACAGTGGTAACCAGCAATTTGTATAAAGCACCGGGTCTGAGGAAGGGAAGCAGGGTGGAGGTTGTGTTTGCTGAAACAGAAATGTTGTCCACCGTGTATCCAACTCGTAACAGCACTAAGTTGTAGAAATCCAGATCTCCAGATGGTTTCTCCCAGCTTGCATTCAGACTATCTGATTTTCCCTTGTTACTTAGCTTCAGATGATTCACCTTTAAAGGTACTGAGAACAAATAATTTGATTGCAATCAGATTATTTAAATATGTAATTTCCTATCATAATTAAACACAGTTCTATTTGTTAAAATTAGTTAATGCATTGAAATGTATTTTTACAAATTTACACATTTTATGCAATTTACAAATGTTACTGTTCATTGTTTAATTGACGTTAGTTCATAATGTATTAACAAGCTGAACTACAATGTAAAAATGTTAAAAGAAACACTCAAATGTAGAAATTAACATGAACTAACATCAGAGAATTCTGCAAAGTATTGTTAATTGTTGTTTTCCTATTAGTTCACTAATAGTTCACATGTGTTTATGTTTACATACATCACCCTATTGTAAAGTTACTGAAAATCTCTTTATCTTTTTAGTATGTTTCATTCAATACCCACTCCACAGATGTTAGTGTGAATGAAAATGAGGTAGCGCAGGCTAGAAATATATATTTTTGTAACATTTTACAATACGGTTCCATTTGTTAGCATCATTAACTACATGAACTAACAATAAATTCTTAGTTAATGTTCATCTCAGCAATTATTAATACATTATTAAAATCAAAAGCTGTATATGTAAATATTATTTAATGGACCTAAGCGAACATAAACAAAACAAAACAAAAAAAAACCTAGAATATTCATCAGTTTTGAAATTAGACATGACCTAGACTTTTAGACAGTAAACAGTTTTTACTTCTAGTATTAAACAAGGGACACTGAATACTTTTTCTTAGAAAATGGCAAGATAACCTTACATGTTCTTCCCATTACTGTAGCAGAACTACGCAGGTTCTTCGTGGTAGTGGTTACAGTAATGTCATACAGGCGACCAGGCGTGAGGACATTAAAGGTGCACTCTCTCATACCACGGCTCAAGGTTCGTGTCTGAATAGCCGTAGATGTGTTGCTTTGGAAAAGCTGTACGATGTAGCCATCACGAGATGATGAGCCAGAGGCGTGAATCCACAGAGCGCTTAGGGAGGTCTCGTCTGAATGACGAATGTGCAGTTGAGATACTGGCGGAAGACCTGAAAAAAGCAGACCAAAAGAAAGATGCTACAAAACCCCAACTACAGTTTGAAATAACGCTATGTTAGGAATAACATACAACAGTATTATTTTTCAAAAAAAAATGAGGTGGCAGGGCAATTTAGTGAGGATTTATTGTAACAGCAGAAATGTGAAGCTTATGTTATAAACCACTTAATTTTAGGGTTAACTTATGTTGTCATGAAGTCAAAATTGTAAAATTTAATATAACTTTAAGCAGAAAGGTTTAGTAAGTGATGTTTTCACAGTAAAATCATGTTAACATGCATATTGTTTGCCTTGTGGCTATACCTTTTTTATTGTCATTTAGTTATTTTTTTAAGAAAAGGAGGGACAATTGGAAATTGAACATACAACAGTATTATTTTTCAAAAAAATAAGGTGGCAGGGCAATTTAGTGAGGATTTATTGTAACAGCAGAAATGTGAAGCTTATGTTATAAACCACTTAATTTTAGGGTTAACTTATGTTGTCATGAAGTCAAAATTGTAAAATTTAATATAACTTTAAGCAGAAAGGTTTAGTAAGTGATGTTTTCACAGTAAAATCATGTTAACATGCATATTGTTTGCCTTGTGGCTATACCTTTTTTATTGTCATTTAGTTATTTTTTTAAGAAAAGGAGGGACAATTGGAAATTGTTTTTTATAGTCAACATTATGCCACAAATTCTGCTGACTGAACTAGTACTGAATCTAGAATATTAAATAACTAATAATAAAAATAATAATAACTAATAAAATTACATGTTGCATACTACTTGTATTGTTGTTAAAAATATCAGACAGTGTAGTCTACTCAGTATAGAGTGTGCTAGTGTTGCATTCCTTTATTTTTAAGAGAGTACTACAGTAATAAATGTCTATATTATGGAATATACAGTATATGTATGTAGCATTAGTCAACAATGTTCTGTCATTAACTGCAACAAATGCTTTTCATCATTTTGACAGTAAACAAATATTGTATTTCCATGTTTTAGAAACATTCTTGTAAAAACTGCTAATAGGGACCTTATCTGAAAAATATGGGAAAAATATGTTTAAAAGTGCTTGTGTGAAAACAAGTGAGTATTTTGGGTAGAAAATGAAAGATTATTGGTGCATTCCAGTGCACTTTTCATGATATATGTGACCCTGGACCACAAAACCAGTCTTAAGTGTCAATTTTTCAAAATTGAGATTTATACATCATCTGAAAGCTGAATAAATAAGATGTATGGTTTGTTATGATAGGACAGAATTTGGTCGAGATACAACTATTTGAAAATCTGGAATCTGAGGGTGCAAAAAAATCGAAATATTGAGAAAATCGCCTTTAAATTTGTCCAAATGAAGTCCTTAGCAAAGCATATTACCAATCAAAAATTCAGTTTTGATATATTTATGGTAGGAAATTTACAAAATATCTTCATGGAACAAGATCTTTACTTAATATCCTAATGATTTTTGCCATAAAAGAAAAATCTATAATTTTGACCCATACAATGTATTTTTTGGCTATTGCTACAAATATACCCCAGCGACTCAAGACTGGTTTTGTGGTCCAGGGTCACATATAGCAGTGGTTCCCAACCACGTACCTGGAGTATGCTAACACTCCTTAATCAAACACACCTGATTCAACTCATCAGCTAATTAATAGAGACTCCAACACTTGAAATGGGTGTCAGAAAAAAGATTAAACTGAAGAACAGACCACAAGAATGCAGTATCTGTTGTCTTTTTCATATTTAAAATGTGGGAAAGAAAATGAGAATAGTCAGGACAAACAGAACAAAGCAGACTGAAAAGAGTTCTTTAGTATCCAATTGAAATCCCAAGCGTTTGCAGGCACAAGCACTTTTAAAGGCTTACACACAAGTATAGCAATGTTAAAATGAATTAGAATTAATTATCAACAGAAAGCAATTTCAAAAACAGGTGTAAATGTGTCTTCTCCTTAATGAATTTTAGATTTTTTAAAATAAATATTTAGAGCAGAAAATCCCAACTACGCTCCTGGAAACCCACTGCTCTGCACATTTTGTATGTCTCTCTTATCTGACACACCCAGTTCAGTCCATGGAGCTCTCTCCTATGATCTGAATCAGGTGTGTTAAATAAGGAAGACATACAAAATGTGCAGTGCTGGTGGGACCCCAGGACTGGAGTTGAGAACCACCGATTCAGAGTATTGACACATGGTTACCTATTTCCTCCTCGTAATAGACCGTATTAGCCAGGCCTCCATTCTCTACACTGACCGCCATGCTGTACACTTTGCCAGGATGCAGATTTAGCCATGACAAGAGTGTTTCCTTTGCCGTTCTGTCCACAGTTTGATTAGCAAGGATTTCACTTCCATTTGAAAGCACCACACGGATGTGTTCCCATTCTCCGGAAGGGGGTGTCCAGGTGATCTTTAGGGCGCCACGGTCAGACAGGTTCTCCATCACCAGATCTGACACCTTCCCTGGTTCTAATAGGAAAAACACAATGTTAAATGCAAATGATAAAATGCAACTGTTAACTATAACAGCGTTTTGAAAGTTTAAACGGACAAGACTTTCAAATGCATGCAAAAAATAAACTTTCATGATGACAAAGAACTGCAGTGTCACGAGAAAATTATGTTTTTGCTTCCACCCCAAAACGGGCATTTACAACATGAAATAATAAATAACCTAAAGGTATTTTGAGCTGAAACTTCAAAGACATATTCTAGGGACACCTGAGACGTATGTTACAAAAAAGGGCATAATAGGTCACTTTTAAAATCTGGCTTTTGGCTTTCTTCAGGCCCGAGGCCAGTGTTAAATAGTCTTCTAAATGTTGGGAATTACTGCGTTTGACTTTGTTCGTCCATCACACAGGCCCTGTTTACACCTGGTAATAAGATGCATTTTGGTCAACCGAATTACAAAAGATAAGTAAAACACGTTATTTTTAACAGTACACCTTTCAATCGGTTTCTTTTGGTGCAGTGGTATACGTATACTTTTGCCGATTAGCTCCAACTTGTCTCAACACACCTGCCTGGAAGTTTCTAGTATGCCTAGTAAGACCTTGATTAGACCAAATTAAAATTCTGTCTGAGTAGCGCAACACGTCCCACAATTATTACGACCACATGAGCATCAACACTAGGAAAGCTAAATGTAGTGATATTTATGAATAAATAATTCACTATTGAAAAAAAAAAAGTGTCTTGGATTGTTAATAAGTTAAATAAACTGTACTTACCAGTTTTTACTGTGATCCATGTCTTATTAGAAAGTGTTCCACTCCTAGTGCTGACTGATACTTGGTAGGTCTTTCCAGGACTCAAACTGTCAAACACCACATCTGTACTATTAGGGGACAAGGTTTTTTCAATAGAGTTTGAACCAGGTAATGTCAGACTGACAAGGTAACTGTCCACATCACCAGAGGCTTTATCCCACAGAACTCTGAGGGTGTTCTGGTCACCATTGTTCTCCACTCTGAGGTTAGAAACAGCAGCTGGTACTGTAAAGAGAGATGGAGAGGTCAGTTACATTACTTGCTAAATATGTTATAATGCCTATGTTTAAAGTCCAAAAGAGATAAAGAGATCTTCTTGCTCCACTAGGGTATATAATACCCAGTTTTTCAGCCAATTGCTGGATAAAATGAAGCCAGCATTTATTTTTTCTTTTCTTTGCTTTGCTTTTTTTTAATATCGTGTTCTGCTTGGAAAAACACCACATTACAGAAATAAAATGAGACGCAACACTGTTTCATGTTGACTTTGAAGTATTGACTAAGGTCATTTGTAAAAAAAAAAATAAATAAAATTCAGTTAAATTCATGTTTATTTGCATAGCATTTTTCACAATACAAAGAGACAATAACAGTATCATTTTCAAAAGCGTGCACTTTGAAACATGTTTTCAAAAGTTTGCATTTCCTGGCCCCCAAAACACCATTGTTGTGTAAATGAATGGCCAAATCGTATAAAACATTTTCCATTTTTAGTTAAAAATGGTGCCATGTCTCGCCCCGCTGAGATGTGTTGTGTGGTGTGTGACTTTACTTTAGTGTAAGAGTGTGTGTAAAATGTATTACTTTTGTTAACTATAACGCTTCTTGTGCTAAGTTGTATGTTAGTTGTCTTTTGTTATTGCCTCTGAGCGAACTTCTGTAAAAAATAAAATTTCATTACACCAATCGCTGGTTGTTGTGACCGAGTGTTTAAGCGTCAACTTTTATTGAAGATGCAATCATTTGCAAGATATTTGATATCTTTTGTAACGCCGTAAGTGTTTTTATTTTATACTCTTCATTATTCTCTAAATTATTTTGGTTTTATTAAACTCAAAAATATGTTGAATGACTGAACCTGACCACATTTGATCTATAGCACTTTATACAATACAGATTGTGTCTAAGCAGCTTCACAGTGATTTGATAAGCCAAATAAACTGAATGTAATCAAGTTAAGTATGTTTGAGGATTTGCTGTCAAGATCTCAAAGATTGACAATGAACGTAGGAATTTATAATCAATGCAACATGTTTCATAATTGAGACAACATGACGTAACGTGACATAACATGAGCCACAAGTGACATTTCAGCACTCAAAACAGGAAAGGGTGTTAACATGTCTGCCTAAAATACAGCAGAGGAAATCATACAGGCAAATATATGATCACAGCCGCGCACACATTCACATTTATAAAAGAGTGATGACAGAAGCAACATTTTAATGTGTATATTGTCAAATCTGTTCATTTGTTATTTCATTCATTACTTGATGCAATGCAAAATACCTGTTTGTGCTTGTCTAGACGCTGAATTCTGTAGCTCTCCAACCTCTGTAATGACAGTGACATTGTAGAGTCCGCCAGGAATCAGCCCTTTTATTGTATACGAGGTTGCTGTGCTAACAACTGTTGTGTTCCAGATAGAACCAATGCCTCTGCTGTCTAGAAGCTTGATCTGATATCGCTCTGTTTTGCCTGGACCAGGCTGCCATGAAACGTCCAAGCTGTTTGTGTCCCCAGAAACCCAGAGATTTTCCACTGCTGAAGGTCCTAACCAAGAGACATACAGAAATGTCAACAGTGTGAAATACCAAAAAAAAAAAAAAACATACAGTATGTTAAAATAAGGACAATTTGAAAATCAAATTAACTGAAGCATTAAATATGTTAAAATCTACATAAAAATAGATTAAAGTGAATCTGTCTGTGGCAGACATACAGTATATTATAATACATTTTTTAGAACTTTGGCTGTAGCGTAACTGTTTAGTGCCATGACTGACGCAGATGCATTTTTTCAATATGGCATGTCAAGTTAAAAGTGATTAATACTGAAAACCTCTAAAATTTACTTACTTGACTAAAAGCATGTTTTAGAAAGTGTATATGACACAATTAAATTTATTGCAATGAAGTAATATTTATAGATTAAATGGTGCAAATCATGCAGATGATAAGCAGTGATCTCTTTGGTTTTTTAGCTTCTGACAAACGTTTTCATAACAATCCTTAAAATATGATAGATTATATAGAAATGAAAAGGTATGGACACAATGTGCCCTGCTGTGAATTATTCTCAGTGAAGGGAACAGAATGTCTAACAACCTATGTGCAAACATGACAGCGATGCTCTTTGCTTTTTTAAGAAAGCTCTTTGTTGAAAGGGTATTGTGAGAAAACAGGATAAGAAACCTTTAAGGTTGAAGGTCAAATTCAGACAACCTCTGCTAATGACTTTTTTCACTCTCTCTCTCCTTGAGACCCAGTCATTGTTTATTTAACAATTTTTGATCATGTTAATCATGTTAATTATCTAAGATAGCTAATAAAATACACGGCTGAATAACTAAAATACAAAATGAGAATAACTGCCCCTACCATTGCTTTTGATTTAATCACAGAAATCTGTATGAAGCAGCCTCTGTCTAATATGCCTAGAGATATTTTAATGCATATTTACAGCTACAGATTTTTAGTCACTTTCTTTTATATTTTGTTCTTAAATGCAATCATAAGTAACCTAAATATCAAAAAAAAACAACAACTTTGGGGTCCACTGTACATGTTATATAACTGTCACTGTAATCAGATCTCTGAGAGCTAACGAGTCTTTGTATATATTAGAACAAAAGAACAATGAGCCGGATGGGAGGGGGTGAACGAACTGAAAGAAATGACCCACAGTCAAACTCCTGTTTTGGAGTTTAGCCCAGTTACATATACACAGCACATTATCAGTACAGGCCAACCTTTCCTCATATTTATAAGAGCTTTTGACACTTGGCCATTTGAATTTGCTCAACACATAGAACTCTAGATTTACATAATCTGTGTTTTTTTCAAGTTCTTTCATCTAGTTGCTCCCATAAAGGGGATTTAAAGTGCAAAAGTGTGTTAATACTTCAACTTCAACTTCATTCTCAGTCTAAGTGTGTACAGAAATCCAAATTTTAAACATTTTACTTAATTTTTATGGAATTATGAATTTAGGAATTTCCTGAATGGGTCAGTTCAAACAAATGTGCCGAGTCATTTTGGGCAGACTCTCTCTGCGGGCTCCAAAGCAAGGTTATGTTTACTTAAAAGGTACAGAGTGCTGCAGGAATTATATATTTTTGTAGGTCAAAACCCTGACACTAGTTAGAATTTTTGCACTTCCTGTTCCAATGTTCTGAAGTGGGTTTTTGAATTGGTTCTTGGTTAAATATCTGAAATAATGTCTGTGTCTGTGGTATTTACAAGCTCAAGATATTTTCATGTTTTATTCTACAATACCCCTTTGTGATTTTTAAAGCTTTTACTTTACTTCATAAAGAGGGTTGCTAACAAGTTAAATGGGGCTACAGAGTCGATCGGGGTCATGAAACATCAAGTCAAACAGGAAAACTCATGTACTCATGAATCCACTTTTACATCCTCAGTATTTATAATCGTGCTCTTGCAAACTATTCTAACTCAGACTTTCAGGGAAAATGTTTAAAAAAAAAATCAAGACTGAAAGAGTTGTTGAAGCTTAGTGGTGGTGACGCTTAAAGTAATGCAACTGTGGTGTAGTTAGTTTATAGTCCACATTTAACTTATTACTTCTGCCAGTTGTATATAGGCTAAATTCATAAAAGTTGTCAATTTGTGAAGATTATCATGTCGTTTTTTTTTTTTGTCGGTCGGGGGTGATGCTAACTTCCAGATTGGCCTACAAACACATGTCCTCACTGCAGCACGTTAGTAAGCACATATGTGCCCTATTGATGAGGCTCCAGTGGCTGTGACATATTTAACACAATATTATTTTATACAATTATTTTAATTATAAAGCACTATTGAAACAAAGCAATGTTTATTTTATTTTACTCTCTTTATTTTATTCTCAGCTCGCACATTGTGCATCTGCATCCAGATTTTTTTTAAATAATTTTTATATCATGTATTACTATAATAAAAATAAATATGTGATACATCTCATCTTACAACAAATATGGATGCAAAATGGCAAAAAAAATATTATACAGGCATATTATCTTTGCAAGCAGAGAACGTTTTAGTTAAAGTAATCTTTCTTTTTTATTTATTTATTTAGCATCAAACAAACGATATATATCATGCTCGCAGTAATAAATAAATAAATAGTAAATGATACAATTAAAAAATATTGCACAACCATTTCTTTACAACCTGGCCACATTTGTGGAACTGACAACAGTGAGTAAATAATATTCTTTGTGGTTTATATGATGGTAAGTTTGCTTTCTAAAATATGAGGTCACATTTTTGTGCCAGCCAAATTAGAAAAATGTTGAAGAGACAGCTTGTGTTTTGCTTGTCATTTTATTATATCATTACTGCTGTTGTTGTTTTTGTTGTTTTACACTGATTTGATGAAATACCATCACTCTATGTCAGCATGAGTTATGATGTTTAAAAAAGAATTCAATTTTCAAATTTAATGGCATTTGACAAAAACAGCCATTTTTATCTTTAGAGTCACCATTGTTGTGTATTTTTTTAACCGCATCTCTGTAATTAACCACTTCTAAGTATTAACCCTTAGTAAAATAACATCCTCTAAAAGCTCCTCTTTTCAATAAACAACATGATTTGAGGAATGATTCATGTCTGGAGAATAAACGCTGTGAGTTACGCACACTCAAGTTTAATACTGCTATAGAGGTTTGCTTGGCGATAGTAATGATGTAGATGCTTGACTTGACTTGTATCAGATTGAACACAATGCAAAGAATACAACATTCAAATATTAAAAAGCAGGATTCTTACTAGTTGGCAGGGAGACAGTGTGTTGAGTCTGTTGTTTTTCATCCACTTTTGATATTATATCGAGCTGATGCCACGTTCCAGGATCTAAATTCTCAGTTTTGCACTCAAAATGTGTGAAATGTTCCTGGTCTTGATGACAGTCTTTTGAATCATTGTGTCTGTCCCTGACAGAAATGGTGTATTGGCATTTCACATCTTCGTTGTCCAGCGTGATGCATATAGAGTCTGTGGTAGAAATGGCCTTCACAACTTTAATGCTACATTCCTTTGTGTCTACCACCACGGTACTCTACATAAAAAAAAGAAAAAAGACAAAAAAAGTTAGAAACACTTTACTGGACTCATAAAACAGCATGCATAAGTCCCACATATAGAAAAGTATTTTTTGAAAGAAGAAATCAAGTTTTTACAAGAAGACTATTAGTATTAGTATTAGTATTATTTTAAATATGTTTATTAAAACTTACCAATATTCCACATGCTACCCAAAGAGCTACATGAATGTTTTTTCTTCTCAGCATTTTATTTTTTTAAATGTTTTTGATTAATACACAGAAATTCAGTTGAAAAAGGCACATCATTCTTTAGTGTATATTCCAGAGTGTTGTTTTAAAGTATTTCTGATAATCCAGTCTGGAGGACCTCTGTGGGAACTGCTCACTTTCACTCATTAGCCCACAACAATCAGGAAAGTGTGAAGGAAAATAATCCCGTCTCTAAAGGATATCCTCAATCAAATGTCTACAGAAGCATTGTTTTTTCGTAGTCCAGTGGAGACACGTTGCAGTCTCTCTGATGGCAGTCTTTTGCCTAAAATACTCTAACTCTACTATAGTTGCACAAAAATGAGGCAAAAATATTTTTTAGAAGCTTTAAGGTCATAAATGCCAGTGAATTGGAACTTTTGCTGGAACAATAGATGTCAATTACTTTGGGCTCCATGAACATACAGCACAGCACAGCCCAACCCCACTTCCTTCCTGTGTTCTCAGTGCTCCCGCAGAAGGATGTGTTGAACAGAGAAATCTTGTACTAGCAATTGGTTTGTAAAGGTTCTTGCATCAAGAGAGTTGTATAAAGGAACATTATTTCATTTTCAAGATAATTTGTTAATCATAGATGTTTGAATGTAAAAACAAAACTTATGAAAACTTTTTTAGGAGACATGTTGGGTCTAACATCAAGAACAGAAGTCTGCCTCTGCTTTGCCTGACCTGCTGCACAGACAGCTCCTGTTTTTTTCTATCTGTTTGTGTACCACTGAATCAAGGTGTTCTGGTTAACTTCCACCAGCTGCATTGATGTTCCTCCCATTACCAAGCTGTTGCCCAGTACAATCTGCTTCATCCTGCAATAGTCTGGAAGGATCAGAGAACAATCTCAACAGGGTTCCCTTGCTTTTTAGGGCTTGGGTGAATAGTGAAAAGCCTGATGAAGATGGTCTCCACCAGATGGCAACAGTCAGATCACTGAGCAGGTGCACCCACTTCTTGCACCCAGCACACATCTGCTGGTGCTCTCCACTCCAGGGGTATGAGTTGGCCTCTTTGGTCTTCTGAAGCATCCACTTAGCAGTTGCCTCTGGTGTCAAGCTGTGTACACCAACTGAACTGAATCAACAGTGAACTTTAACTGAAAAACTGACTGTTTACAATTGTCCTTTTTTTTTTGGAGATGCTTTACCGTAGAATTGAATTTTGTCTGCATCATTTAAACATTATTTTCCTGTTTAACACTGTATAGCTGCTTTGACACAGTCTGTATTATATAAAGTGCTATATAAATAAAGGTGACTTGACTTGACACCACCTGCTGCTTGTCCCGGTCATCCAGGTTCCACCAAATAGCAACTATGGTGTTGGCTTCCTAGTTGGTCAGGGTGAGGGCTGTGTGACCCCGGAGCTCCACCAGATATTGATATTATGACATTTTGGTAGTCAACAACCTTTAATTTAAAAAATGATGCTAGTCTCCTTTCCATTGGTCCTCCTCCCATGTGGAGAGCCGGCTTCTTCATGCTAAGATCTGTCAGGGCAGGCCAGATATCAACAGCTCTCTCTTCGCTTTGCAAAGCATAGAAACATGCATGCTAACAGCCATGACATGAATATGGGATACAGCTGATGTGCATTAGTTGTACACCCCAAGGCAATCATGCGCATAAATTGCCAGATGTCCAAGCATATCACAAGATCTGGTCAACCTCTGAACCTGGTTTTCAGCTTGGTCTCGCCCACGTCAGCACCCACAGTCCAGGTACAACACAGCAGTTTGATCCACATCAGCCATCTGGTACCTTTTCATAAGACCATCCATCATCATGTCCAGTCCTGCTCCTTCCTGGGCTGTCAGCACACTTATGAGCACATGGCCAAATTCGTTGCCAACAGAGGTGAGTCAGAGTCCTGTTCCCCTCGCTGTCCCAGCCAGCTTCTTGACGTTCTGTAATTGACATGATATGAAGCATGATGTAAATGTAATGAAACATCACATCAAAGAGTGTCATGCTGGGATATAATAAACACCAGCATTAATTAACCAAAATCCACCACTAACCTTTTTAGTGGAATCCATCTTCAAGACATCCAGCCTAGTCAGGATGTCTTGGCTGTATATGATGAGCAGCTACTTGCAGCTGGACAGCACTGTAGGCTCTGGGGGTTCCTGGAATATTATTGATAACACCCTAGTGTCAATAGGTGTCAGTTATGTTCTGTTTGTCTTAGCTATCATGGACTTTTAGTTTGTTTTCATTCATCATGTGTCTTTGTTTCCCGCCACTCATTTGTTTCTATGGGCATTGATTATTATCACAGCTGTTCACTACTTTGTCATCACTGTGTATTTAAAGTTCCTTCTTGTGCACTCTTCAGTTGTCCAGTGTTGTATGTGCTATGCACACTTTGTCGAATCTGAGTTATCAATTAAACTTCATTTTATTTCATCATCGTCTTCTTCTGGTTTATATGTGACACTGGGTTGATTGAGGAAGTCCATATATTGTGTGGTGTACCGGGCCTGAAGCTGGGGCCACTCCTCACTGTGGTTCTCACGCAGTTGTATGATTACCTGTGTAGCCAATTGATTGTGACTTTTATATTTGATTTTATATCATTTACTTTATAGTATTTTATTTTATATTGTTTGTGTTGAAAGTTATTTTTTGAAAGTGTTAACTTCATCAAAACTTGTATTTAATGTTTAGTTTTGATAATTGCTATTCATGTTTAGTTTCAATGGTTCCAGTTGGGAGTTCCTACCAATTGTTGTAGGTGGGGTCTTAATTAGTGGAGCACCTTAGGAAGAGGTTTCGCTTCTCCTTTAAGCATTCGCGCTCAGTCTCACTGTGAATGCAGACGGGAAGCACGGTATCTTTCGCTCTCTCATATATATGTCCTATTTGCGTTTGTAACTTTATCACTGTGTATATTGTGTTAAAACTTTGTTAATATGTATTTTATGACGTGTATCTGTAATTAGTGAATTCTCTTTGAAAGTGAATCGTGAAATGTTTTGGCGCTTCATCCCCATCTGTGTTTTTTCCATGCAGGAGTGAGACAGTAGGCCTACCGGTGTGTTTGTACTAATTTTGCCTCATACTACCCTTCTTTAAAGGTATGTTTGTGCACTTAATGGTTAAATAATTTGTTTTATGTGTGAATTCAATTGAGTGACAGTCTAAGCTGTAGTATTCGTTAGACTTACATTGTTAATTACCATATGGTGCAGTCTTGTTGAGTGACACAGCATAATTGTATAAAAAGAAGTTTATTTCACACAATATTTACATACATTTTCATTTTTTTCATTAAGTATTTGCATGATGGAATGTTGCAAGTATGCTGAGTGTTTATTTGTATTAACTGTTATGTTACATTGTTATATTTTGTGAAATACTGTTTTATTTTGTTGCCTACATGTATATGTGCAATGTATCTCACTTCTCCTTTAAGCATTCGCGCTCAGTCTCACTGTGAATGCAGACGGGAAGCACGGGAGTGAGAGAGTAGGCCTATCGGTGTGTTTGTACTAATTTTGCCTCATACTACTCTTCTTTAAAGGGGAATAAATTCCATCACTCATCTCATCCATGTGTGGTCATGCTTCTGTCCCGAGGGTACTGCTTGACATCTGCTACACCTGCATAGGGCTGTTACCTAGGCCACGCTCACGCAGGAGCCACATATCACAGGCATACCTTAGGTACAGCAAATCCACACATTCATGTATATATATATATATTACATATCTGATTTATAAAGTATTTGCATATATATATATATATATATATATATATATTTGATGATGGGCTAACAACTGGATGTGGAAAGAAAGTGTACATCCGCATGAGGATGACACAAAACTCAGCAGTGGCCCAGATCCAGTTGCTGCAGGACAGTCTGACTCCAGGACACATGCAAGGCTCTACACTTGGTACAGAAGAGGGTTTCAGTGACCATGTTGTACATTCTGCAGAATGAGTTCTGTTGACTTAGTAAATAGATAAAACAAAATAGATAAAGTTCTTTACAAAGTGTTAAGAATTGTGTCAGGTGGCTGGCAACATTTCATGTGACTTTGGTGAGCTGTGGCAGTACATATGAAATTCAATTATCTTTTTTGACAATCAAATTATGAAATAACTTAATGAGACAATGCTGGATGGCTCTCTGGGAATGGTCACATCTGGGGACAGGGGCTGGAACTTAAGGGTCTTGTGTGTATTGATTGGTACTCCGATGGTGTTGTGAGTTTTGGATCACATGTCACTTAATGTGCAGTTATGAGTATATCAGTAGACCACTTCCCGCCTCACTTAGTCACCAGTCAAGGACTTTACCTTGGCTTTATGAGAACACTTCCAACAGGGGGCTGTTCAACAATTTATAGTTAATGCCAACTGGAGGGAGTTGGTCAACTGATTTATCTGAAAGATCTGAGGAAATTCGGATAACTAGTAGCGACTTTGATTGTCAGCCCAAGGAAGACACAATTGTAATAAAATTAATGAGATTGATTGTTGAGATAGATATACAAAGGCAAATACTACAACTATTAATGATACCAAAAAATTAACAATTTGAACAATTCCATGGTACTTCCATTTTCACGAAGCTGGACCTCTGAAGTGTGTACAGTGGGGTCTGGATACACATTGGGGATGAATGGAAGAACACATCTGTGACGCTATCAGGGCACTATGAATATTGTCATGCTATATACCTTTGTCAATTTGTCCCCCTCCATAGGTAACACTTTATAAAAAATGTTATTAATAAATTAACAAACATTATATAATGCTTTACAGATTGTTAGTTCATATATTTTCACATAGCTAGAAATATAAGATAATGTGCTTGTTAATGTTTACTAATGTACATATTAAAAATTACCTAATGATTAACAGATCTTTATTTAATGTAAATTAAAATGCTTACAAATGTCATTAAACTTTCAATTCATACGATCATGCACTTTTTAAAAATCTACAAATAATTTTAACAGAAATTATACAATGATGACAAACTTATTGGTCAATGTAATGTAGGAGATGTGACAACAGAGTTGGATCCAAATGCGGGCTGTATTCAGAAGAGTGGTCAAAGCAGGCAGGGTCAAACAACCGCAAACAGGTACAATCCTGGAGCGGACTCGTGAGCTGACTCCTTACTAAACACTGGGACTGGAGAAGGCTCTGGAGTGGATTCGGGGACTAGAGCAGGCTCAGGACTGGATTTGGGGACTGGAACAGATGCCACCGCCTTGGGAGGTTCTGCAGCGGAGGCTGCCACCTCTGGGGGAACTGCGGTGGTGTGTGTGGCACAAACACATAGAATGGCGACCGCCATTACAGGGAGCAGGGGAACAGACTGATAATTAGGTCTGAGGCCTTTGGGATGCCTGCTGCTCTGGCCGAAACCAGCGGTGGAAGCCAGAACCTGGAAGCCAGTCTCGGACACCTTGGGACTGACCTTGAGGCACTGGGCATGTTCGCCATGACGGGACGGGACGAGACTCTGGAATGGTGGCCATCTTGTGGAGAGACTCTGGCTTGGCGGCCATCTTGGGAAGAGGTGTGACAGCCACTGGGCTTGGGAGTGCTGACAGCACTGGAGTAAAAGTTAAATAAGAACTAAGAAGACTATTAAAAAAAAAACTTACAAAGAGTAAAAAAAGAGCTGAATATAAAACAAGAATTGTAAACGTTTAACACGGACTACATAAAGTGCATGCGTGCATACTGAGAGAACAGTGCAGACAGCAAAAATGTGCAAAAATTTGTGCAAAATTGTTTGTGCAGAGGTAGATAATAGATTGGGAGGTGTGTGAGAGTGGTTCAAATCAGTCCAGTGTGTGATGAGTTCTTATCCCCTCAGTCATCTGGAATTGAGGAGTCTGATGGATTGGGGGAAGAAGCTGTCACGCCAGATGGCAGGAGGGTGAAAAGTTTATGAAAGGGGTGTGTGGGGTCGCCCGCAATGCTGATGGCTTTACGAGTACAGCGTGGGGTGTAAATGTCTGAGATAAAGGGAAGAGGGACCCCGATGATCTTCTCAGCTGTCCTCACTATCCGCTGCAGGGTCTTGCTCTTGTTCAAACCCTCTTGCTACTTCAAGATTGTTTCTGGTGGCCAGGCATAGATAATGACATCAGGTGATACATCAAGGGGTGTGGGTGTAAATGTCTGAGATAAAGGGAAGAGGGACCCCGATGATCTTCTCAGCTGTCCTCACTATCCGCTGCAGGGTCTTGCTCTTGTTCAAACCCTCTTGCTACTTCAAGATTGTTTCTGGTGGCCAGGCATAGATAATGACATCAGGTGATACATCAAGGGGTGTGTGGTCTCCAAGGTCCCCCCTCATCTTCCATCATTACATTTACATTTATTCATTTGGCAGACGCATTTATCCAAAGCGACTTACAGTTGAGGAATACAAGCGATTTATCATAAGATGGCAATAAACACGAGAAGTGCCCGTTATAGGAAACTGCTAAAACTAATATACGCACACAACACCAAACATGAGGAAAGCATCAAGTCCAGTTAGCTTTCACCCACTGCATGCGGGGCTATTTGTACAAATGCTAATCACCGACACCTGCTGGAAATGGGTGGAGTCTTTGTGTTGTTGCTTTGACAGCACACTCTGACATTGGCTGATTACCAGAACAAGTTTCATAGATACAAATTCAAAGTAAATTTACAACGGTCCTTTTTAACAGCCACCCCCAGATTTCTAAAGAATGAAGAAATCTGTACATTATAAAAAGGCCAAAATCAATTTCACTCTGGTATCGCAGGTAGCTGTACAACCTTTGCCACAGGTCGCACATAAGACATGTTCTTAACTTTCACCTCAACAGTCATGATTCTTTTGTCCACCCCAGGGAATACTTGATAGATCTGGCTGCAGGGCCCTGGGAAAATTAGGGTCCACAATCATAACGGTAGTTCCCATCTTGATATCGGGTGACTCTAGTTGCCACTTTGCTGTCTGAAGACCAGGCAAATAGAACTTGATAAACCACTTCCAAAAGTGATCTGCTATGATTTGGCCATGACGCCAAAGACGTCGACTCAATAGTTCACAATGAGGATATATAATTTGAGGAAGGGACGAATCAGGCTGCCCCATAAGGAGAGAATTAGGAGTAATAGGATCTGGATCAGAGGCATTAGAGGATGTATACCCCAGAGGTTTAGAATTTAGGATCCCTTCAATCTTGATGAGCACAGTGTGAAGTGTTTCCTCTGGTATCAGTTGAGCTCCCAGAGTGACCTGTAGAGCTTGTTTCAAGAAATTAATTTCCCTTTCCCAAAACCCACTGAAATGTGGGGCATGAGGTGGGTTGAAACGAAAGATAATCTGCTGACAGGCAAGCTGTTCCTGAAGCTCTGGAACTAGTTCAGCATATGTCTGATGCAGCTCCTTTCCCCCTCCTTTAAAATTGGTAGCCTGATCACATAAAACCTCAAAAGGTTTCCCATGTCTGGCTATAAAACATCTGAGGGCCATAATGAAGGAGTCTGTATAAAGTCTTGGGAGGAGATCAATATACACTGCACATGTAGTCATGCACTTGAACAGAATACCCCAGCGCTTCTCACTTCTACATCCAATCTTTACTTAATATGACCCGAAACAGTCAATGCCAGTAAAATAGAAGGCGGGTTCGAATAGACATAGTCTGGCTGGAGGCAGATCTGCCATCCTAGGTATCTGTGGGTTTTTACAAAACTTCTGAGATACTGGACAATATTTGCACTGATAACATCAGATTGCTTCCCTACCCCGAAGGACCCAGTATTTCCTACGCATCTCTGCCAGTATTTTCTCAGCACCTGGGTGGAACAGCTTTATGTCATAGTCCTTAATGAGAAGGGTAGTGACTGGATGTTGGGGATCAAGGACAATAGGATGCATTGACTCAGGCTCAATCTCTTCACAGCGGTGAAGACAACCTCCTATCTTTAGGAGCTGACTTGTACAGTCAAGTTCAGGGGCAAGGCTAAGAAGTCGACTGTTAGTATTCAGTTGTTTTCCCACTAGCTGTGCCACCTCGGATGGAAAGCTTTCCCATTGAGCTTGTTGAAGGATAGTTAGAAAGCGCTGATCACCCGCTGATTTTCCCACGATCACAGCCCGACCTGTCGGCGAGCTCTTTAACTTGCAAATCGGGCTTATATCGGGCTTAAAATCCTGTAGTGTGAACTAGGCATTACAGTATAACATCCAAGTGAAAGATATAACACCAACATGTCACAAAAATGTCAGATTTTCAATGGGGCTTAAGTCTGGGCTCTGACTAGGCCATGCAAGGATATTCACCTTTTTCTCCTTCAACCACTGTGTGCTCAGTTTTGCTGTGTGCTTTGGGTCATTGTCATGTTGGAAGGTAAACCTTCTTCCCATTGACAACTTTCTGGCAGAGGGCAGCAGATTTTTCTCAAAAATATGATGGTATTTTTCCCCATCCATTTTTTCTTCTATCTTGACAAGTGCTGCAGTCCATGCTGCAGAGAAACACCCCCATAACAGGATATTACCACCTCTATGCTTTACTGGAGGAATGGTGTTATTTGGATGATGAGCTGTATTGCATTTCCACCAGACATATCATTTGGTGTCAATTTTAGTCTCATCTGACCATGACAACTTTTTCCATGTGACCTCAGAAGAAGTTTTGGCAAAGCTCAGTCGTGACTGCATGTGGCCTTTCTTGAAGAGAGGCTTTTTTCTTGCAACCCTCCCATACAAGCCACATTTGTGGAGAATTTGTAATATTGTTGTCATATGTACACAATGACAGCTCTTTGTCATAAATTCCTGCAACTATTTCAGAGTTGCTGTAGGCCTCTCGGTAGCCTCTCTGACCAGTTTCCTCCTGGCTCTTTCATCCATATTGGAGTGACGTCCTGATCCAGGGACGGTCTGTGTTGTACCAAATACCTTCCACTTCTTAATAATAGACTTCACTGTGCTTCTAGGCATTGATAAAGCCTTTAAGGTCTGCAAAATAATAGAGCATTGGTAGGCACCTTAGGCACATTAGCCAGTCTAGAGTGACGAAGATCTTTCAGCATGCCAGGAGCAAACTCAAGGCAGGAAGAGGCAACAGACAGGGCCTGCAGATCTCCTACGCTTTTTTAGAGAAGTGATTGCAAGTAAGAATGCTATATTGAGAGTCAGACGTTTCTCTGAAGCTGACTCAATAGGCTGGAAGGTTGCCATAAACAAACCCACCAAAACAATGGCCAAATCCCACCCCGAAACTCTTTAATGAATTGCAGGCCTCTGCCGCGTAGGAAACAAGACATTAGAGGGTGTCTCCTCAATGAATCACCACCTAAAGGTTAATGGCTGTCATGTAAACCTTTTAAGTGTGTGGGGGGGGGGATATCCCAGCAGAAAAGCGATCCTGAAGGAACTCCTGCACTGAATCAATCAGGCAGCTGACTGGGTCCAACTGGTGTTCTCTGCACCACAAAGTGAAGAGTCTCAATTTCAAAGCGTACTCTTTTCCTCATGGAGATAGCTCTAGAATTAAGAATAGTCTCAACAATCAACCAACAAGAACCAAGTTTTCTTACACATCACTAGGGAACAAAGGCATCTGTGCATATAACCCTAATGATGCGAAATGGGTTGCCCCATGGGGAAAACTCCTTGGTCTTGATCCACCACTGTCTCATGTACAGCAGGATTTGACATTTTATCCTCCAAAAACTTATTTGAAACCTTAAAAGTAGACACTTTACTTACATTTAATGTGCTTTCTATGGACATAAAATCACTTTTGTACATTTTTTTTGATGCAGACATCTTAACGTCTTTGACCCATGTATGTATGTACGTATGCATTTATTTATTTTCTTTCTACTTTCTAGTAGGAATAATGATGTAATCAGTGGACTACAATAAACAATCTTATTTCACCCTTGTGTTTTTCAGTTCCGGGTGCTGTGGGTAATTTGTCCCTAACAGAGTATGGAACCAGTTTTCTGAGAGTGAACTGGGCATCTGCACCAGGAGATGTCGATAACTATGAGGTTCAGATTCTCTTCAATGACACGCAGGTGTCACCAGCTGTGAATCTGAGCAGTACGGTTAGGGAACACATGTTCTCCACGCTCACACCAGGTCGGCTTTACAAGATCGTGCTGTCTACTCACAGCGGGTCATACCAGCGTGCAGAGATCCTTGAGGGCCGCACAGGTACTGTAAGGTTTTACAGTGGACAACTTTTTATTGTTCATGTACATATAATAATAATCATGTATTTTTATATATACTGTATATATATATATATTCTTGAATAAGAAATGACCATAATAACATTGTGAATAATGATAATACTGTCTTTTAGATCTGCTTTACCGCAAAAAGCAACCTGGACATATGTTTGTGAAATTCCCCTATAATTATAATACGTTTTATAATGAAGCTAACTATTGTAGCATTGCATCAAGCAGTGGTTTATGAGGTACAATATTATTAAAAAAAATGTAAATCATTTGTGCTAAATTTGAACAGATTTAACACTGATTATGTGTTGAATTACATGTTGAACCTGACAGGATTTGAATCCAAATGTATCATTATCATCATCACAGTTTGTGCCTTTTTTCCCATTTTGCCAACCAGTACCCAGTCAGGTTCGGAGTGTTCGTCTCAGTGCTGGCACCACAGACAGCAGTCTCAGAGCCTCTTGGTCCTCTGGTGATGGAGACTTGGACTTTTACTCAGTGTATCTGTTTCATGAGACACATGTCCAGGACATCAGACATGTTCCTAAACACATCACACAGACAGAATTTCACAACCTGGTACCTGGTCAACTGTACTCAGTTACTGTGCAGTCGGTCAGTGGAACGCAGACAAATAACAGTACAACTAGTGGCAGAACAGGTGTGAAATACAAATATGAACTGTATTAACATGTCAGAACTAGATCTTCTAGTGGAAATATGATACTACATGAATTTGATTAATACAATAATGTTGTCTCAGGGAGACAAGAAGTGTTTGAAACCAGAACGTATAGTCTAATGTGTGCTTATGTGTGTTTCAGACCCCTCCACAGTCACCAACCTGCGGGTAGATAATGAACTCAGCACACACAATCTGTTAGTGAGCTGGACGGCAGCTGTGGGTGTTTGTGATGGATACAGTCTACAGTTACTAGATGAGAGTGACCAAGTTATCGCCAGCGCTTCGGTGCACTTCTCCGTTACTAACAACCACCACCTGTTTACAAATTTAACTCCAGGAAGGTGGTACACAGCACACATTCAGACACTCAGTGGCACTGCCAAAAGCAAGGACATCACTGCCGAGGGACAAACATGTAAGACACGCATCCTATAGCATGTTTTTCAATGTGTATTTACATTATGTCATCAGTTCACCACACGACTGAATCTCATACATGTATTTTGAGTTTTGATTTTTTTTTTAAGTCATCCAGTTAATTCAGTTTAATGTATAAAACCAAACCCCACAATACATTAAAATTCTTAGACCTATAAGCCAAAAATTATTTTAATGTTATGACCAGTAACCAGTAAATGGAAGATTTATATATATTTTTTTTTATTTTTATTACATTTTTTGTCTTAATACATTAAAAATAAAGTTAAAAATCTGTTATATTTTATCTACATTATAACATATCTTACTATCTAGCATTAAGAGTACTTTGAGCTCTGTTTAACACATTTTACTTCAAATAGATTAATTCTGCAGAATTCCACAGATTTTCCTAATGTTATGACCAGTAACCAGTAAATGGAAGATTTATATATATATATTTTTTTATTTTTATTACATTTTTTGTCTTAATACATTAAAAATAAAGTAAAAAATCTGTTATATTTTATCTACATTATAACATATCTTACTATCTAGCATTAAGAGTACTTTGAGCTCTGTTTAACACATTTTACTTCAAATAGATTAATTCTGCAGAATTCCACAGATTTTCCAACCAAGTTAATGGAAAAACAAAGATTCCAAGTCTTTCCCAGAATCACGTAATGGCAAGTTTACAAGACTTGATGTCCTAATCTCCTCAGGTCCAGCAGCAGTGACCGGGCTATACATATGCTCCAACATTAGCACTGAACTTTCGTTCTGCTGGGCTGCACCGGAGGGACGGGTGGACAGGCTTGATCTGTATCTGTACGATCAGGTTGAGGAAATGCAGTCCCACAGGACACTGGGAGAAGATGCTCTGGGCTGGTCCTTCACACACCTGCTGCCGGGGACGCTGTATAAGATGATGATCATCAGCAGGAGTGGGAAGCTGAGTAGTCAGTTGTCTATATGGGCACGTACAGGTGAATACTGAAGCTCTGCTCTATATGTAATATTTCCTAGTTAAAATACTTCACAAGAGTTACCTGCTATCGCTAAAAATATCCCGTCACTCTTCAGAAAATGTATTTATTAAAGGGGTCATATGATGCGATTTCAAGTTTTCCTTTCTCTTTGGAGTGTTACAAGCTGTTCGTGCATAGATAAGCTCCCTAAAGTTGCAAAGACTAAAGTCTCAAACCCAAAGAGATATTCTTTATAAAAGTTAAGACTCGTCCACGCCCTCCTAAAAAGACTCGTTTAAACACGCCCCCACATGTCTACGTCACCCCAGAGTCTGATTACGACTCTTATGTTGTGGAATGCCGCAAACAAGGGTCCAGGATGCCAGTGTACACCTACACACTGGGACATGATGCTCTCTCGCAGCATTTTGACAGGCTGGAACCCTTTAGAAACTACACCATCTACATCACAGTGATGTCTGGAGACAAGCAGAGTCCAACCACAAAAACCAGCGTTATCACTATGATCGACAGTAAGTGAGCTTGCTCTTTCTTCTTGAAATCACCAACTCTCACTGAAAATGAATGACTTATGGTCACTTTGTTGCTCTACATCACTGCATAATGTGATCTCAACATGGCAGCCATTATGAGGGGTGACCCACTCCATGAAAATAAAACAACTTTTTCTAGAATACAAAATTTTAATGAAAGAATTACATAGGTAAGGCTGGAATATGATATGACTTTTGCACGGATTTCTGCCCAGATGTTCAGTCGATTCGAAGGCTGTCAATCATGTTTGATATTTTGATCCAATTTTAGAATGC